GGACGCTCTCCACCCACAGCCTCCCGCTCTGGTTCTGACGGTCCCGCACGCCCGCCGCTGCCTCCGCCGGCGCTCCCGAGTGAGTGAACGGGCGAGGGCCGCGCGCCGAGGCCCGTCGCCCCCGGGCTGGGGCTGAGGGGACCGGGCGGGTCCGGGTTCGGGATGCTGAGGAGACCGCGGGCCCGCGCCAGCTTCCCACACACTCACTCGGGCCGCTCCGGAGGGGGCGGGGAGGAGCGGGACCGCGCCCGGGCGGGCGGGGCGGGACGCGAAGAAGGTCCGCCGGGGTCGGAGGGTCCGCCCGGGGTCGGAGGGTGAGTCCGGCACAAAGGGCTGCGCGGGCTGTCACCGGGAGGTCACGGGGGGAAGGTTCGTGGCGCCCCGCACGCCCCGCATGCCGGTGCCCGGCGTCGGGCCCCGGGGAGTGGGAGGCGGCTGGGATGTGCAGGAAGGCGAGGCTGGCGAGCACGGCTGCCTCCTCCGTGTTGGCGGTGGGAGCGCGCCTCGGGGAGCGCGGCGTGGCAGTGTTTTCCTGGTCCCCATCCGCTCCTCCCCTTTCTTTGTGGCGTTTGTCTCGTGGTCGTTTGTCACTGTGTGTATCGCTGTGGTCTAGGGTGCGAGCTCCCGCCTCGGCTCCCTCGGGGCGAGTCGGGCGGCGGCCTCCCGTCTGCGGGTGGGGAGCGGAGTGCTTGCACACGCCGGGGAATGAAGGACCCTTCTTTGTTTGCAGAAGCCTAATGGGGTGTGTGCGTGTGTGTGCGTGTGTCTCCTGTGCAATGAATCCGAGATCATTAAAAAGGGTCTGAGGAAGAAAGGACTTACTACTTCATCAGACTTTTACCCAGTTCTGTCCCTGATGTTCTTTCAAACAGTATTTTGCTTGTTTCTTACTGTAAAACCGGTGGGTTTCGGTCATGGAAAATGTGTGTCTGTGTTCCCGTGGATCTCTGTGTTTAGAGCACATTGTTCGGAGGGCTCGGTTAATGACAGAATGCTCTGTGTGTGCGCCTGGGAACACTCCGGCACACGCAGGACACTGCTTTCGGGTGTCGTTCGCTTACCGTCTGTCCCTATGCTCATGCACGTGTATGGAGAAGTGCTCCGGGACGTCTAGGACCCCGTTTTCTCAGCTCCGCGGTCCAGGAAGGTTTTGTTTCTCCCTGCCCCGTGTGAAGGAGAAGGCGGTCCAGCAGGTTCTGTCCACCTTGCTCTTGTTCTTAATGCGTTGGCACCGGGCTTTATTGCATATGATTACCCTGGCATGTGCCCTTGCTTTGATCCGAGTTTTCTTGTCTTCTGTGGCCTGGCTGTGCAGCCCAGCTCAGTGGCTCCTCTTACCGGACCACTGGGAAACAGAACACCTTTTGTCGTCGTCCTCATCCCCAGAGAGAGAAGGAAACTGCAGGTTCCCACAGGCTTGATCAGTCAGACTAGCTGCCTGACTTTGTCGTCTTCCTAAAGTTAGGAGACCCCGAGTTACAAGCTGATGGAGACCATTTAAAAAGGAGCCCTTCTCATAGCACCCCAGATATTCCTTGCTATTTCCTTTGGACTTTTTTTTTTCTTTCTCTTTTTAAACCAGATTTTTATAAGCTTTAGAAGATAGTTGATTGCATTAGCTTTTACAATATTTTGTATAATTCAGTTTTACCCGTATAGTTTTGTAAAGTGATGGGAAAGTAGTTAAAGTTGGTTAGAAGGAACACACCTCCAACATGTTTTTGTGGTGATCTTTGATTCAAAATAGTGGCGGTAAAAATAATTAGAAGGGCTTACTGGATGATATGAGTAATTGAATTGGCTCAGTTTTAAGATTCTCGTGAAGATTCTTTTTTAATCACGTGTATTTTAATTTGTGGTAGTTTTCAGTACAAAATAAAATGTAAACTAAGCAATCTTCCGCAGCATTGTTTAGTCCCTCTATTAAAAACATCTGCTTTTAATTTGAAGGGGAAGCTTTCCGTCCGTTGTATTGGGATCTATTATTCTTCGTAAAATTCTTACCTGATGTTAGCATGGTCAAATTCTTTTTTTTGTAAATGTTAAAATTAGTAAAAGTTGACTTTTCAATTTGGAGAAGTTTTGGTTTTATGAAATAAAATTTTAATAAAAGTTTAATATCGATGATTTTTACTCAAAATAAGTTAACTTAAAAACAAGGGCTTCATTGATTTCCTTAACTGGTATCACTAATATTGAAGCAACTCCAATAATTTATAAACTGCCCACATTCAATTTTTTATCTTTATTTTTTAGGAATTCCCTTAAAACAAACTATAAGGGGAAGTCTTAGATGAACAAAGTAGTATAACCGGAATTGTCGCTGAAATAGGCTTGCATAGTACCACAATATTGTGGAACTTTAATTTTGCAAGAGTGACTTAGCTATTGTTTGAATCAACAAAGGAACCTAAAAACATCCTGGTCTTGTTCAGCATTCTGTTAACTAAATCTTTACCAACCCATAGTTTAGCATTTCCTATAGTAAGATGATTTTAAAAAGAATTCTAAAGTAATGTCTGTATCATCGAAATAGATTAAATTATGTTAAATGCTGTTTTAGTAGTAAATATATTCTTTATATTCATTAGAAATATCAATATTGTTATGTCAGTGATGGTAATAGCAGGTATGGTGACAGTTACCCAAAACGGGGATACATTACCCCCCCAACAATGTCTGATAATAAAAAGTAGAATGTTTTTTCTGTTGAGCATTTTCTATCAATATTTGTTTTCTGTTTCAAATGACAATTTAGTCTAAAATCAGTAGCAAAGTAACATAATGTATTGACTTAAGCTATATGAAATTGCCATTTTTTTAGATTGGGGAGTAGTAAAAAATCAGCAATTTTATATGGTTCAACCACTTTCAACTCTCAGCAGTTCCTTCTGGTATTTACCTTTATTTCTATTTCATTTTTAATGTTTAAACTGCTATTTCTTTATTTTTCACCTTTGGATATTTGGGTATTATCTATTTTAGACGTCTTTCCACCCCCTACTCCTACTTAAATTTTATAGTTCCCAGTTAAGTCAGTTTTCAGTATTTATATGACTGTGACAATGTACCTGTTATTCACAGATGAGCCAGGTAGGATCTAATATTACATTTTCTTTCTTGTACAACTTTTGTTTCTCTTGAATTAAATAGTTACCTCTTTTATTTGTTTTTCATTTACTTTTTTTCTATGTACCAGTTACTAATTCATCCTCAAATTCTATCACAAAACTAATAGTCTTTCAGTATTTTCAAATAATCTGTTTCATTCTTTTTTTCTAGCTGTCATCTAAGACTTTCCTTTATCATTTTGGGAATTCCCTTTGCCTTCTTCCTGTGTTAGATCCTTTATTTCCTGAATCCTGTGTTTCCCTCATTCTTTTTTTTTTTTTAATTTTTTTTATTTTATTGATTTTTTACAGAGAGGAAGGGAGAGGGATAGAGAGTTAGAAACATCGATGGGAGAGAAACATCGATCAGCTGCCTCCTACACACCTCCTACTGGGGATGTGCCCGCAACCAAGGTACATGCCCTTGACCGGAATCAAACCTGGGACCCTTCAGTCCTCAGGCCGACGCTCTATCCACTGAGCCAAACCGGTCAGGGCTCCCTCATTCTTTAGTAGCTTCCCGAGAAAGGGCACATACAAACTCTGAAATTCCTTCCTAAATTCAGAACTTGCATGTCTGGAAATGTCATTTTACCCTCACACTTGAATAGTGGTTTAACTGGTTATTGAATTCTAGATTGAAAATTAGTGTTCCTCTTTTGAAAGCATTGTTCCATTAGCTTCCAGTATTGCTCTTTTTTTAAAATCCTCACCTGAGGATATTTTTTCATTGATTTTTTAGAGAGAGTGGAAGAGAGAGGGAAAAACAGAGAAATGTTGATGTGAGAGAAACATATCAATTGGTTGCCTCCTGCGCTGCCCTGACCAGGGCCCAGGCCAGGGGGGAGCCTGCAACCGAGGTACATGCCCTTGACCAGAATCGAACCTGGGACCCTTAGGTGCCTACACTCTATCCACTGAGCCAAACCATCTAGGGCTAGTATTGTTCTTGAGAAGTCCAATGCCATTCTAACCCCCATTTTCCTTTTTCCTCTCACTCTGAAAGATTTTAAAATCTTTTGTTTATCCCTGGTGTTTCTGATATTTCATGATGTTTCTTAAAACATCTTTTTTTTTTTTGCCATGGGACAGATAGCATTTTTCTCAAATGACGATATGGTATATATGTCCATGCAAACACTATACACACGTCCCATCTCATCCAATATGCTATTCTTTATGGTGTTGACATGCCTCCATCAAGAGGTGGGGGTCTTTGTTTCCTCTCCTTGAACCTGTGCAGACATAAATGCTCTCCAGAATGTTGGGTCTTAAGACAAAACCATAATTTAAGAGCACAGCAAAATGATCAAGAGCATGCACCTTGTGTGTGTGTGGGAGGGGGAGGTAGGGGGTACCTTTTTATTTTTTACTTTTTAATGGAATCATCACTGAAAATGTCAGCATCAGAGAAAATTTCTTCAAGCAGTGAAATGCAGTCACCTTTGAAATCAACACAAAGACTACCAGGTACATTTTTAAAAATCCACCGTAGGGCGTGGCAAAACCATTCATGACCAAAAAAGAAACACTCTTTAAGCTTCACGATTAAATATGTCACGACTAAATATGACATGTATTATTTGCAACAATTTCTGTGATGAGAAGATAGACAAATGGAGCTATGTAGACCACAGCTTGATTGGACATTGTCAGTGACTTTGTGTTTATCTCATAGATTTTTTTTAACCCATCAATTTTTTTTTTTTCTATTTACAGCTCCTTCTCCCTGATCTAGCTTTTCCATGAGTGGCTGAATATTACTGGAGAACTTCAGAGTCATGATTAAAAATCTGAAGTGGGCTCTCAGCACCGCCCAGGAAAAAGCTACGAGATTCCTAACAAGACTTTTTTGCCTATGACTATTTAATAATTTCTCCCCACTCTTTAAACTCATGCACAGCCCACCCCTTTCCATACTGATAAGCAGGCCTCATACTTCATTTAGAAGTATTCAGACAGATACCCT